CATATACTCACTTTTACAATAAATAATTTTTTTTATTTTTAGAGAAGTAATGGAACCAAAATAACATCAAATAGAAAATTATTAAAATGTAATAAAAAAATTTCTTCCCAACCTTGTGCCTGTGACTTTATAGAAAGAGCAAGAACGTTATTTAATCGGAAATGGTAAGTTTAAATTAACTGAATTAACCAAAGACCTTTAATTTGATCAATAATTAATTAATTTACAATTTGTAAGTTGTTAAGTATTACACAGGGTGCAGCAGAACTTCAAAGATTCTCATGTTCTTCACTATTTTCGCAATCAATCATTTTTTTCAAAATTGAATTTCAAAGGTTTGAAAAATATGTAACATAATAATAATAATAATAAAAACATGGAATGGACCACTAAAAATCAAGATATAAACATGGAAAGGTTACATGAAACTCATTTTTGTATTAAATGTATATAATGCAGTGTAAGAATTTGGGAAACCAGCCAAAAGAGAAGTATTATTTATTTATTATTATCCCGCTCTTGTTTTCGGCCCTCAACAGCCATATATATATGTTCACATATTTTCCTCAATGATGGTAGGTACTTAAATTAAGCAATGACTGATACCGCAACGTAATATCTGGGATTGTTTTTTTTTAAATTTTGTTCTAACCATGATGTTTGGATGTAACCATTCCAATTCAGTAAATAATTCTTCTTGTAACTACCTGTTACACTCTGTGTGTACCTTCTTACTTATCAAAGAATTCTAAGCAACTAGTGGTCATTTGCACCATGTAGTTTATTAACAATCGTTGCTATCCGTTGCGCGTTATGCTTATTCAAAGTTCAGTTTAAATTTATCAATGCCAATGGCCATAGGCACCTCAAAAAATTACATTAAAGGCCATTTTTAGGACCGGGGATGTATATTCGGCAGCGAGAGACTATTTACATGTAATACGCAATTGGAATGATAATAAAGATGCCTATATAGGTTTAATACAATGTCTAATAGCATTAAACTGGAGTGACGAAGCATATCATTGGCTCGATTATTTTTCTTCGAATTTTGTGGATTATAATGACAGCGCTCAAATCAAGACACTGCACGATGATATAGCATCGTGTAAAACAAAAAAGGACGAAGAGATAAATTCGGAGAAAGCATTTAGTGATGAAGAAAAACAATTACGTTTAGAATCCAGAGATTATGAGACTCATTTTATTGGCCATTGCAATACGACAACTGATATCAAAGAAGCCAATTTTCTCGGTAGATACTATCTAAATGTGATGTATTTAAATGAAGCGTCTTTTAGGTGAGAATGCCAATTTTATATGTGCCGGTTCAGATGATGGGATCATATTTATATGGGATCGTAAGACGACTAATATTGCTACTGCTCTGTGGGGTGATGGATCGATTGTGAATTGTGTCCAACCACATCCTAGCGCTTGTTTGATCGCAACAAGCGGCATAGATCCTATGGTTAAGTTGTGGTCACCCACGGGGGAGGTAGTTAAATTCGGCATTTTAGTATAGTTGCTGTACTATTTGATTTCCAGGAGGGTGCTGAAAATAGCCGTGTGGTGGTCGATCCATGGGCGGCAATTGAAGCTAATCAACAACGTATGGTAATGGATCCCTTTGAAAATATGTTGGCAAATATGGGTTATAGAGTTAGTCCTTTAGAAGGACAAGACACACCGACATGCCGTACCAGTTAACCTTGTGTATTGCCTACATTTAGACTATGTTTTGCATTTATCATTGCATAATGATGATTTTGTGTGCATGATTTCTTATTTAAATTGTACTGTTTTTTACAGGAAATGGCTGAACACAGTTTCTTTTATAAAAGAAATTTGGTTTTATGTTATGTAATATCATAGAGTAAACAATGCTCTATGGTAATATATATTTATGGTATAGCGCTAATGGTATACAATGTTTTAATGACAGAACTGCAAATTGTACCATTCAAAATACTTTTTGTATATATATGTAGAGTAATTAGAAGAAATTGTATTTATTTATAAAAAGTGAATCTAATTTCTAAAATGAAGGAGGTGCTTTTAACTATTCATAATATGTACATTTTTAATAGGTAGTTAATAAATTTTACTAAATTGTGTACACTATTAATTGCTTGTGTTTTTTAAAGCTCTACACGAGCTAGTTTTTTTCATATCCACATCAAAGAGTAATTCTTTACAAACGCTTCTTCAATTTCCATATGAATTTGGTCGAACGTGTGCCATCTATTCTGTTTTACTTGAGGTAATACAGTGTTCATCAAAGTAGTCAAATATGTGTGATGCACGGGTCAGGGTGGAGGAATGGTTATTTACAACAAATAAAACAACTGAATTTTTCCACATTTAAATCTGTCCAGTAAAGTTTTTGGGTATATAATACCATAATACTTTATTCATAACTTACATGATCTACAAAAATTTTTATTTGTTACTCAGTTGTAAACGTTGATTAACAAGACAAAACGCAAACGGGTAAACGTCATGTTTAAACGCTACTGACTTGTAAAACTGACAGCAGACCTGTAAAACTGACAGCAGACCTGTAAAAATTTTACAAGTTAGTAATCTAGTAATTTCATTGGCCAGAATTAATGCGAAGTCTCTGTTACATGGATAACATGATATTTTAGACATTTCTTCAAGATTAATTTAAGAACTAATTATTTACGTTTACTATTGTTTACAAATGAGTAACAAATAAAATATTATACGTTATACGCCAGGTAATAGTTTTTACTGGCTCTAGGAGATGACAAGCTCGCCTAACGGCTCGCTAGTCAACTTCTCCTATCGCCAGTAAAAACTCACTTACCTGGCTAATAATGTAAAATACTATAGAGGAAATGTGATCTAAAAAACAGTTGTGATTTTATATCATGCTTCCTTTAACTCCCATGTACTTTTTGGCCTGTCGTGTCGTACAAATACAATCTTCAAAATTTAATGCCGTACTGTATGCATCACTATAGAAACAGGTTACAAAGATGTTATATTTTTGGATTTTATGAAATTGTTAATAATTCCAGGTTGGTATATCGGTTCGAAAAAAATGCGTATCTATCTAATCTTTACAATTAATCCACCTGAAGATTGTCGATCCTTGCTCCTAGCCAAGGACTGTTGGTTTTGACTTTTGGAAGCCACAAGTAATCAGATGGAGAAAACGGAAACTCCAGAGAAGAGAGGCGGCCGGTCACTGGCGAATAATCTAAAACAGAATTACGGCACACGGAAACGTAACGATTTCCGAAGGCGGGAACAGAAGCACAAAATGACTAATGGAAAACAAAAGGAAGGAAAGCACCCCTTTACAATTAACGAAATGAGAATATCAAGCGCTTATCTGGACATTAAACAGGAACAAATCCTAAATCATGCTGTTCAACCTTATATAGAATTTCCAAAATGCGGAAATGTAATGTCAAAATTTCCAGTCGGCCGGCGTACTTGATGTAATAACGTTCAAAAAGTAAAACTTTAATTAATTTCTTGACTTCCGGTCATCATAAAATTCTAATACTTGTCTTCAAATTCGCGTTTCATTTGACACCAAACACAACCTAATCATACAAAATTTGCTGCAACATCTAATTAGCGACAGTTAATAATGCTTATATCTGCTTTACAGAGTTAAAATGCCTAAATACGGTAACCTCTAATTGACACGTACCCATTGTGACCGCAAAAGATCTGGGATAACAAAGAAGCTGCACGGCCTCGTAGTTTTAATGCTCATTTTCGCTTAACATAGGGAAACGAAAATTGGTAAATAACTCACGAAGTGAACTGAAATCATACAATATGAATATTCTCTCGTCTTCCAAATGACGAAAGCTTTCAAAGGCTGCGAGAGTAATTAAAATATCTAGGGGAACAATTAGAAAATTGAATAATTTGATATGGCGCCTCGGTTTCCTTGTTGGCAGCTAACATGATGCTTCAAATTATAGTTATTTATTATATAAGACGATAAAGGGATATTTTCACGATTGAGTGAATTAATTTTCACGAGATGGTTAGTTTCCTTTTATCGTCTTGTATAATATAAAACTTTATTTTATAGCAGAATGCAGATGCCATATAAACATATATATAAGAGAAGAAAGCTGACAAGTGACAATTCTGGTCTTCAGCATCTGCGCAGAAGGGTCGAAATCGAAAACGTAGCACAATATTGATGTATACAGAGCGTATCGTAATTTCTGTTTCAAATGAAAAGGTGTGTTAGGCAACTGTAGGGGGAGATTATCACAAAATGAATCGGAAAGTCTAAAGAAAGGGAAGAGTTGTTAAATAGTCGTAGCAGCGTTAAACGGGCTTGGGGGTTGTAATGTTAATGTGGAAGAAAGTTTAGATGGTGTTCAGAGATTTTAAATTCCTTATAAAAGTGAATGTGCCTGAAGGTAAAGAAATGAATTCCAAGCAACATCGATGGACGTTTCTGTTCTTGTGGGCGTGTTAAAACAAATCACAGTTATGACCGGATGTTAGGATTATTTAAGGAAATTAGAATTTTCTTTTAAATTTAATTTGTTTTAATCGACTGCCTCTTTCTTACAGCATTATTGATTGTTATTTGTCGAATAAATTTGTGTCGTATGTAAATGATCAGCTGTATGTTTAATAGAGCCCAAATTACGACCCAGGATATAAGGGTTTTTCTATTTGTAGCCAGGATTATGTTAGGTGTTAACATTTGTTAAAGAAATTTTATGGTCAACACTTCCCATAAAAAAATGTTTGGTAAAGTTTTTTGAGCCAGCTGGACAGGTGTTTAGGAGGGTGTTTATGTGGGTGGTTTAGTGACCGTTTGCCATTGCACATAGCAATATGATGCGTTTTTTAGAAGACTGTGCATATTTGCGCAAAATACGCATAAACCAAAACACTCAGTTTGCCAAAACTGCGACTGCACTGGACGAAACTGTTCTGGGTAAAGGTGTAACATCCATATGACTTGTGGTGCAAGCGCTCCTGAATTCGATTTTTGTAAAAAATAATTTATTATATTGGTAGATATAAAATGTACATTGTTATAATAAATAAAATACTGTTAACCCTTATCCTCGTTGAATACTGAAGGCTTGAGATTCTATAACATTTTAAAAGTATTAAAGTCAATGTTTTAAATTATGTTAAAATATAAATTTTATACATTTAACAACAATAAAAGTAACAATAAAAATTCGCATTAGCGTATTACATTGATAGGTATAGTGGAATTACGAGCTCCTACACGTATCATTAGAGTTTCACCAAGAGTCATGGATGTTTCGTGCCACACACATTTTCCAATAATTGGCACTTCCTCCAAGGGGGCCCTAAACACGACCAGCATAGTCAAACACAACCCATCCTTATTGTTTATACAATTGTGTTCAACCTAAACCATGATTAGAATATTGGTCGTAATAGTGAAACAGCGACTTACCGATAGAACTCCATGTGGCCTGTGAGGTGCCACTTCAGCGCCGAATAATTCGACCATAAATCTTCTAAGAGTAGAGTGCAGTGATTTGGCTGGATGGATTTCACATACGGGAAGGTGGAATGCGGTTCGTTCACTTATAAGCACATGGACCCGATTTGTTGAACGTTTTTTTATTAAAATGACCAACCGTAACAGTAGAGAACTGTGCTCCTTTGGAGCAGGTAAAATTTCTTGGTGCCATGTTTTATCGTTCATTTTCTGAGCCTTTACGTACGTCCTACAAGTACAATGTTTTAGTTGACAATAACATTTCCCATGATGAGAAGGTTCCTTTGTCCAAATGGGGTAAAATTAAGATGCAATTTATTGCATCAATATTTCCCATTCTACACAATCTGAAGAGTTGCATTATGCTAAAAGTAAAAGAGGCATCACCAACGCTCCAGTCCATTCATCCCTCAGCAGGACTCGTGCGTTTTTGGCCAAACACTCGATCACTGTTCACATCCACCCTATTAACCTGACCTTGCTCCTTTTTATTGTTCTCCAAACTCAAAAGACCTTTGAAAGGAAGAAGATTTGCAACGATTCTCCAGATTATGACAAATGCGGTGAAGGAGTTAAATGACATCACAAAAGTAGCGTTCCAGGCCAGGTTTCAGGACTGTTCTTAGAAGTGGAAACACCGTTTTAATAAGTCCACTCAGAAATAAAACAAAAAGAAAAGAGAACAAGTATAAATTGTGCACAACTCTTGTCCAGATCAAGCGCATTTTTTTTAACCGAAATAGCTTTTGTTTTGACATCACCAATGGATATATTTCTTGCAGACGTCTCAATCGCCCTTTGTGAATACCCTCTTCCGCAAATCCGTTCTTGAGGTATAAGGGAATATACCCGATCAGGTCGAGGAGGAGAGCTATGGTTGGTAGAAATTAATTCCTTTCGTTGCGACCTTTCATTAGAGTACCATGAAGGATAAAACTAGTTCCACCCCCCTCCCCCTCCACCCCGTATAAGAGGACAGAAAGAAGGGCAGTAGTTGGTAGAAAACGGTTCCTTTCGTTGAGACCTTTAATTAGAATACAATGAGATAAAATTAATCCCCCTCCCCTCATCCCCGTCGCTAACTGATCTCAAAAGTCCACGGTTAAGTTATAGTCTGTACAAACCAATTTACTTCGATGAGACCTTTCATTAGAATAGCATGAAGGACAGAACATTTTTTAACTCTTAAAAATGTGCTAAAAAATAAAAGTGTGTGCATCGGACCTAGACATGTACCTTGTACATAAAGCTAATTTTGTTTTATGACGTCAGTCTACGTATTTTTTTAACAGGCCTCGTATGTTACATAGTTTCTTGTGTTTACCTGAGCCCTACAAATTAAATGTATCTTCCAAAAGAGTCGCTCGAATGTGAAAATTAAACCATATGAGTGTAGAAAATAAAAAGCTCTTTCCCATGTGTCATTTGACCCAACGTTCAATTTAAAATTATTGACGGGGTGGCAACCCTGCTTAGGGGGTAGACGCCACAGGTAAATTTTTAAGTAAAATGTGTCCACTTTCCAACCAAAATGGACCGGTTTTTGCGTTTTTTTCCAAAAACTATTTCCATAAGAGATATTCAGTCTGTTTCGTTTTCGTTGTGCCTGTACTTATTAGTCAATCAACGATTTTAATGCGATAATTCTTTCCATTCAGATGCTTTTTAATAATGTCAAGCCGTCTCATGAATTACTTCGGAAGATTCTGCTTCTGAATACAATAAAACATGCATTACTTTTACATGCAACAACCATTTATCTATGCCATATCTCTAGTGGTGTCAAGCGAATCTTTTCAAGATGGGGGAGGCGAGTAAACACACGTTTTACCCTACAAGGCATACTTATATGAAAGGTATCACGAAAGGGAATTAGTTGGCTACATCACTCTTTCTCGAGATTAACAATAGGTGGTTTAGTGTGGGGAGGGGGGGAGAAGAATTGCCTAGATAAGATTTATTGGTGAGGCCAAAACGAATATCTTGAAAACGAAATGTCGGAAGAAGAAGCTCATAAAGGGTAAGTACGTTGACTGTCTATACAACTTTCAGTGCAAATCTTTGCAGAACAGAGTGTTTGAGGAGGGTCTCAAAAAGCGATTTGAACGTCTGCATGAGACGCTAGGAAGCTAAAAACTGTCTGATAATTTTGTAATTTCATGGAGAGCAACTCCAAAGCGATTTTGTTAAAATTACAACCATTTTTATTGTCCCGCCAAAAATTACAGGTGGGTTTTTTTATTACGTAAGCTTGGCATCGTTATTTTCATGTTAAGAGATCGCTCATAAAATATTTTTGTTGAGAACAGAATTTTTTTTTGCATAATCATGTAGCAATGTGTATTCTGAAGGTAGGTATTTTAAAAATTTAGACACAATCAGAAGACATAAATACTAACTAAAAAAACTAGACCCGTCCTTTATGGGTTATGGCTAATGATAAAACATTAGCTGATACAATAACGGAACTTTTTGTCCTTGGTGTTCCATACACATTGTACACTGTATAGGAATACCTTCTGCAGAGGCACCTCTAAAAAGCATTATACGGGTCACTCTGTAATTGGGCGCGAGCCTGTTGAGGGCTCAGAACAAGAGAGGGATAAATGATAATAAATAAATAAACAACATTTAAGTTGTTGTGTGAATTGTTGTGGAAGTGTGAATGATTTGAAATTGGGGCAAAGAGAAATCAAAAATAAATTCAATGAAACACAAAAGATGTACATATGTGAAATTTTATCAACTTGCAACAATCGATATGAGATACAAAACAAAAAAGGCGATCTTTACATGACTGATATTTACTGTTTTTAAAGTATTTCCTTTGTACCTTGTCCTATTTTGCACTAAAGATAAGCAATACAAAGAATGTAAATTTTACTTTCAACAGACACAGTGATACACTTTGACTAAAAGATGACCCTTGTGCTGTAATTTTGTACAAAACTATTTAAAGGCCTAAACTCATACACAAAGCTGTGCTGAGTGATGGGTGGAACAAGACTAGTTGGTAAAAATTCTTTATGCAACGTATGCATAAATGATGCGCGAGTGTTTTCAATTGTTTAATCATTTTAGATAGATGACGATTGGAATAATGTGTTTCCATACAGGGATGATTACAAAATGGTAATACAACAGAGAGAACTAGCCAGAGTACCCTTTCACCACCAATCACCTCAAGTAAGTGCGCCTGTCATATCTGTAGCAAAAGTTGTAATCCTAATGTATCTCAGATGATGTATCGTAAAACTATCATCAATTACCTCAAAAGTTATTCTAACGATAAGAGCTTGAGTTACTCGTGCCTACACCTAGCTGTATACATGCTGGACGTTTTCATGGATAATCACACCATATTACCAGAACGTTTACATCTGGTAGCTAACGTGTGTCTATGGATATCAGGTACATCCTATAATTAAGTCAAAGTATTTACAATGGATTTTAGCTAAATTTGAAGAGGTAACTGTTAATATACCAAAGCTTGCAGAATTGAATTTTGCTGTTAATAATCGATACTCATTAAATGACTACAAAGAAGTGGAAATTATAATTTTGAAATATTTCCATTGGTACCTCATGATACCAACAGCCGCACATTACACGCATTACTACATGCAAGTTGCTTTAAGCTCCGAAGATTACTACAACACGGATTTCAGAACGTTAATAGATCATTTGCAGGTGTATATCGAAATATATTTAGACAAAGTGATTGAAGGTAGCTATATGTTAATTTCTGTCTGCATTTTAACTTTCATATTGTAAGACTTTAGATGAGTTTAGCGCTTTCTTAACATTTAAAAAGACCCAATAATATCTACTTAACGATCGAATGTTTTAAATTTTTGAAAAAATGGAAGTTTTTCTTCAACGGAGACTATTTTTAGTAAACAAAATAATCAACATGTTCTCATGCCTTTCATTGCCCGCTTATAGACTCAAAAATCAAACCAAAGAGAAGGTTGCAGTTACTTTGGCATTTAAAAAATGCACCATTAAAACGTTGACCTTATTAGGATGCTGAGCAATAGCTCAGGTTCTTTGTGTTTGTGTGTTCGTCTGTCCTTTAACGCGATAACTACGGACCGAAAGCAAATTTTCGACTTCTGTTTTTGGCAACAAACAGCTGTGGACTAGAGCTCAGACGAGTTCATTAATTAAGTTTGCGGAAAAAACAAATTTTAATTAATGTACAGGGTGGCTAAAATTCGCGACTCACCGCATTGCAATCTCCATAATGGAGATACAGTGTAGATTGATTGCGATAAAGGTGCCCTTTTTTGTGGCTAAAAAAACGTATTTGATATTTTTGAATAATCTTTGAAAGTAACTGAGATATCATTCAAAAACTGAAAATTTCAAATTTCGTTATAATTTTCCCATGCTTAAATCATTGTAATGTTGATAGAATCGGCGGTATGAATATACAATTTTTGTGGGTGATATTATAAATAAAGACGAATTGAATACACTGAACAGTATTTTCCTATCACTTCCGGTTTGGCTGGAAGTCGAATTAAATTTAGAAATTTAAATATCACACCCTATATGTTTTTACATTTATTAATTCTACAGACAATTTTCGACTGACACGTGATTCTCAGTAATGTAACTATCTGAGGTCGGTCAAGTTTTTTAATCTAGGTGGCAATGAATAGACCAAAATTGATCTCCAATGACATTACTTGAAAAACCCATTTACCCAATAACAAAAATTTAAATAATTAAATTATTAAAATTAGTTTTGTACCTATTATTTGATAATTTACGGTTGAATAAAAAGTACATAATTTCTCATTTTCTGCGTATCGATTAACGATTATTTCTTTAACCAATCTCATATAAATTATAGAAATGTCTGTAATGTAAAAATATACAGGGGCATTATTTAAATTATGAAATGAAAAGTATGGTCACTGTTCCAGGTTATTTAGAGTTTTCATTCATAATATCACCCAGCAACGTATTAAACCCATATCGCCAATTGTACCAAAGTTATAGGGGTGTGTAGTATTATTAACTATGTTTAAGTAATGTTTTAGACATACACTTCATGCAAGTTTACAAACCATCGCGATTAGCAGCGGCCATTATATCCGCGGCACGAACGCAAATTGGACTATGTGATTGGACAAGTACTTTAGAAAAGTTCACGGAATATTCCAAACAACAAATTTATGATCCACTACAAGCGTTATTGCAGTAAGTTTTTAGTGTGCGTTTTTACTTAACGATATTGATTTTTAGACCAACTTATGTAATCTGTTCCAACTGTCAACGACGATTTGATTAGATTGATGAATAACAGTGCTTAAAAAACCACACTATGTAAAGATCACCATGTATCAATAATAATGCAGTATTGGCCAGATACTTTTATGAAGTACTACGTTAGTAAACCATAGCCCAGACTGAAAGCGTTTCCCTTTGGCTAACCAATCCATTTTTTCCCAAGTAGCTACAAGTTGTTCAAAATTTCTGGAACCATTTCGGAGAAAGTTTACCACTGGGTTCCTAAAAGGTTTCTCAAGTTCTTGACGATTTTTACGTATCTTATTCTAAAAATTTTAATATAGCAACATTAGATAGGTATATCTCACATTAGTAGGTAGTTTGTGAGAAAAGTGCCGCCATTATGAAAATATATGCGTTCAATCTGAAAATTAGTCTTACTTTTATATGTAAAGTTTAATCAAAATAACTTGAACGGTTTCGAAAAACTGAGCTCCTCATGAAAGACCCTGCATTTAATTGAATAATTACAGTTGAGTAATTTTGTCTATACTTCATGCTGAAAATGTTCAAGGAGATTTTGAACATTTTTTCGGCAAAGGTTTCTAGAAAATAGAAGAAGCTCTAAAAAAATTATTGATAGGAAACCAAAAATTTATAAAAGAACCTCATCGAAAATTTCAATCAACATTTTTGAAGAATGTTAAGATATTACTAGCAGATCCGAACTTCATACCGCTTATCCGTTAATCTCTCGGATGGGATATAAGTTCAGTTTCGGCGACTGCGCTGCCTCACCTCGCCCAAACTTCCCTATCCCGGATTTGACATAAGTTCAGTTTCAGTTCATCCAACTGGTTTGAAGCTGCCAGGCGGCATGCGCCTAAATCAAAATCACTCTTTTTCTGTTGTGAAAATTTATTTATGTAGATAAGTTTTATATTTACTTCTTATTGTAACATTTTACAAGAAGATATGACGAATTATATGAGATTCAAAACTAATGGGGGGAATAATAAAAATGAACCCAGATTCATTTTTCGCATATTTTTGACTGTCAGCATAGCAGAGTCGAATCAGCGGACTTTAAAAAACCAAACATAAAAATAAAGGACTTTGAAAGACCTTTCAAAGAAACTATTACTCGATACCACTTGTCTTTAAAATTTTTAAGGCAATGACCCTGGGGGGCAGAGTGTGGAAGGGGGTGAAGTAGTTTTTTTAATGGGTCTCGGCGTTTTTTCCTTTAATCAGTGGTTTTCGATAAATCGGTGGTGGGAAGTTTTCAAATGGACACCCTGTATATCGTGCGTTAAAGCTGTATTACAATTTGAGATAAATTGTATGTAATCAGCATTTAAGCAATGCATTCTAAGTAAGTTCTTAGAGTATTAGAATTATAACTCTTGGTGTACAAAGCATATTGAAATGGTTCTCTCATGTTCAATAATGCTGATACCATGCATACTGCCAACATGTCACTAGCTATAGGTACAGACTGATATTTTATGATTCATAGAATTGATGGTAAGTACAGCCCGATGCATTTATAAGACTTATATAGGTAGTTTCTGACACAGTAGGTAGATAAACTGAAATACTAGATTCACCAAATAGCAAGTGCTGCCACAGTGTTTAAGTTTGAATGAAGACTCAATCACCCACCCTCACTAACCAACCTATAAGTGGGTGGTGCTTACCTTGCCCTTTCAACGATAGGTACAATATCCTTCCCCCGTAATGTTAACTCATTTAAGTCGTAAACCCATTTTGCTTGTAAGGATTCGGAATCTGCTTGTGAAGGTGTTTTAAGAGTGCCACCGATGACCTTACCGGTCACAACAAACCGAATCCAAGTGCCACCGGCACACTCTATTGTCAATAACGTAGTGCATTGCATTACAAGCCCAGTTTCTTCTAAAACTTCTCGAGCGGCAGCTTCGCTTATATTTTCATTCTTTTCCACACGTCCTGCTGGCAAGTACCTACAATACACAATAAGCTTAAGAAGAATTTACTCATCCTCACCATTTTCCTGCACATGACTGTTTTGCTTCCTGCATCATTAATACCTCATTTTTCTCATTTAGTAGAACAGCAGCGACAATGTATGTAACTGTTTCTCCTAAGACAGGTTGAGAGATTTGTGCCACATTTGGCGCTATCCCCTGTGATTCCAATGCAGTAATTTGTTCATCGATCGAGAAGTCACATATAGTTGACTGTTCATCCTCCAAAGCGCGCCCTTTTAAAATTTTGTCCAGCCAAATTTCAATTATGTTGCCAGCCATTTTTAGGTTAACTACTTATAATTATTAATATTTTAATACACTGTAAAAATTTTATTATCTATAATACATTAGTTAATGGACTAATATTTTTCACACTTTGTCAAATTTACATTTGTACACTTATGTCACGCTACCTGCTTATTAATAATTTGCATTTCACTGGAGGCATTATTACGGAATATTAAAGGTATGCCAAGAATGACACACAACGTGTAACGATTACATTAATGCATTCACCTGTGTACCTTTTATGGACGACTGGAACTATTAATGGCTAGGCGATTGTATGTCTTATGTCCGGATACATTAGAAAGTTAGTAGTAAAATTAGGGCACTACGCTAATTTAAAATTCAGAAATTTGTTCCTCGTATTAATTCGTATTACAATGCCGTTCTTGTTCTACTTTGAATTTTTTATGATTTTAGTCACCAAGTATGTTACGTATTGGTGAGAGCCTCGAGGAAGCTTATTATAACCACAACTAAACATTCAAAATACGCGCCCAGCTCATTCAAAACCGCCTGGGTCAGTGGCGGACGGTAAATTTTTTTGACACTACGGAACACGCAGTTAATACTTATTACTACAGTGCCACCATGCTCAGAAAAGCCCCGGAAAATATGCGAACTAATTTTGAAATAATTCAGGCTGGCCAATAGAAAGTCTGCAAAACGACGCGATACATTCCACGCCATAATTATTAATTATTCCGTTTTGACAGTTGACGCTTCACGTTATTTTAGTTTAACTTTGCTTCTTGTATTTGCTTTATTTTACGTTTTCCGTCTCCGGTTTTATACCAACTCGTCTTTTTCAAGACGCATATAGCTTGGATCTACGATCTGATAAGGTATTTAATTCCCTTAGTGTTTTTAAATTTTGCATCAGAATGTACGGTCTAAACTTCTAGCGCCCTCGGACACGCCCTGTCAGGGACTTTCTGATCTTGGTGCCACTGTACATACGATTTTGTATGCAATATAGGTACTTAGGGGCCTATTCTATAACGCGTAACGATGTCGTTACACAGCGATTATCGTTCGGCAACCACTTGCTCTATTCTATCCACTAAAATGGGTCGTTTCGTAACGACAATATAGCGGCAAATTTGTGGATATTTTACGACAAGCCCTAGTCCCTCGTTAAGTCGGTATAAACATCAGTAACCTCATTTTTATTGAAACATGACACCCTGAGGTCCATTGCTTATTATACTGTCAATTAACAATCTAGCTTACCATATAATACCTACATGTTTACCTATAAAATAAAAATACCCTCTCATACAGTTCTAATCGGTCCACCGGATGCATTTTAGTGCCGGTACTAATTTTGCTCAGATATTATATGAGGTTTATTAGCGTCGAATTTGTTCTCCCTAAAGGCCTATGATTTGAGTTGATCAACGTACAGCATATTCTCTATTAAAATGGATTTGGAGTTTCAATAACCACGCTGGACTTGTCTAATTTTTAATGGATTATTATATTAATTAAAGCTCACAATACATTGGTAGGTGTATTTTACAACTAGACAATCCATTGCACGTTCTAACCTTTTTAGGACAATTTTTCGAAAGAAAAAATTCCCCTTATGTAATGGTTTTGTCTGTCTGTCCATCTGTTTCTCGTCTAACTCGAGAACGAAAAGAGATAGCGATGTCAAACCTTCGCCAATCTATTTCTACGAGATCAAGGATCAGTGCTATTGAATATGCAGGATTAAAAGTCTGGTTTCCGAATACGAGCTGAGTGGTAATTAATTCCCCTACTGAAAATCGTGTGCGAACCTTCGTATCCTGTTTTTCTGTGTAGGTAGCACACGTCACGTTGGGATGATGTTATTTGTTATTTACAGTGTATTTTTCCCGGAACATAGTTGTAATGTCAACAAATTGTGTTTATTCGACCTACTATTATAACGTGAACCAACCTTCAATTATTTGTAGGTTATGTGCATATTTTACTAATTTGATCTATTCAAAACATATTGACAATAAGTCCCGAACTCTTCTAAAACTGTTCTTACTTTTATACCAATTTACAATTAGAACCTTCATCTCCAAAGTAAGCATTTTGTTTAAATTAAATTGGACGGCGGTCGGCGGTATTTTTAAAAATGTGACAGTTGTCAATTTTATCTACTACTCATTTGAACTACTCAATAGATAAACAATCGAACATAGGAAAATGAAATTGGATATAAATTCCTATGTTTCCATTAAAAAAAAATCACTGTAGGTATACAGGGTGGTGCCTAGCGCGACGCAGCATAGGGATTTCAATGGTAATTTCTTTGTCAATTACTAGCTCCTATAATTATTTTAGAGCAAAAGTCGAAACACGTTTTTTTAGAGAAAAAATGCTGCATCTGTTCATACTTGTATAGTTATAATTTTAAAACTGTAGGGACAGAGAAGCGTGACCCCACGGGGTCATTGGGACGGGTCACGGACAGACGGACACCATCGACTCCCCTATAAAGCTTGCATCCCTTTGCTCTGCCGCTTAATAATCGTAAAAGGCAAACGTTTCATTAAACGCGATCGCTGTTTTTTAAATAATTCCAAGGCATATATGATTCATTGAAAAATGAACCTTATTATTTTGTCGATATCTTCGGTTTTGAAAAACGGAAAATTACCTATAAGTAACTAGTGGTCTTGTCCTGTCTCAGCTATGAATATTCAATTCGAACTGGAAATAACAACAAACAAAAATATTTCATAGTGCTTATTGTAATGCTTTCTGATAAACAACATTGTTAGTTTTGTTTTCTGGCGTTTGAATGAAGTTGAAAGTTTTCCAAAATGGAACAGGCGACATACAATTGGCCATGTGCGAAACATGGATTTTTCAGATTGATTTCACAAACACTCCACTGCCCCTGCCCTTTCTATTTAATTTTCGACATTTCCAAATGCAAGCCGAACTGGAAATTGTAAGTCGAATCTCATATCGTTCCATACATATGTATGTATCGTTCACTCGTTCGGAATCATACGGATGCGCGGAATCAAAACGTCTTCGCCTTTGTACTCGTACTTCCCTTTTGAAATTATGACTTCGATCATGGTTATTAATTTCAGTACCCCATGGGTGTCATTACTATAAGACGTGGCTGGTTTATTTTCCGCAACATATGATGATCACCATTTTATCCAATAGCGCCTCACCGATTTGTTGTCCGCAACCAACATTGCATTTTGGCACACGTGAAGTGATAGATATTTATAAACCGGTGCGGATGGGGATATACAAAATGTGATGTGAATGATTTCTTTTCGGCAGTGATATATAATGTGAACTGTGTGATATATTTTAATACTTTAGTGACTTTTATATTATATATTGCTTTCATTTTTGCATATCCCCATTGTTTTTATAAATATATTTATGGCACAAACGGCGCCTCATAAATTTACCTGCACAACCATTGTATAATCAAAGAGTAACCATAATACTCTTTGGTATAATGTATAAAATAAACCAGTAACTAATTTACTTAGGTCATTAGTCAATACCTATAATGCATATAATTAAACAATTAGAAAACGCCAATATAATTTCAATCATTGTAACCACAGCTATATTCCTCAATAATTTCACTTTTCTCCGTTTTTCATAAGCCGTATATATTTTAAAGACAGTAATAAATTACCCCATGAAATGTTTTGCCCTATCTGGAATATAACGCGGCATGTAAGCGAATAAGTACCTATAGATATCTTTAAAAAAGGCACAGCTTCTAATTCGCAAACATTTATTACCTGTGTACTACCATGAAACTTTACACTTTTTAACGTTTTGTAACTTCATCTCAAAACTAAACGCCCCTATTTGTCTTGTTACCAAAAATCGTCTAATTCGGAAACAACACAAAATGAATGCGAATTAACGCTTTTTACGCAAACTGTATCCTTTTCCGAAGGATGCTACACAGAAATACTCTCAAATTTTATATTAAAATACGATTTCGGATAACATTTAATACAAAACTCGTCAGTAAAATGACATTAACTGACTCGGAAACTAACTTCAATATTTCCTCGCCAGTAATGTATCATTTTCCGGACTTTTATGTAATAGTTATTTACAGAAAGCAAAGAGTAAAATCGCATATAATAGCAACAAACCCCTCAGGGTGAAACTCTGGGATTCATGTAATAGGAGATAGGAGTTAACCCTTGTAACGGGCCATTCGTTACAAAAAACGGAATTTTGTTTGTGTTTATTTGAAATTGGGGTTTGAATGATGTTTATAGATTTTTGTATACGGCACGGCTAGTATTATATATCAATCGGTTCAATAGATTTATCTTACATCTTTTTACCTGAGAGGCTAACGCCACGTAATTCTTCTTTCCATAGCCAGCCATTGCTCAATTCGTTTACCAATAATAAAAACAATCAATTAAATTATATTAAATCAAAGTTTTTGGTGTACGAAGTATACACAACATACACACCACTTTTTTTTAGATAGTTTAAAGCTTAGGATAATTAACACTGAGGTATTATTTTCTAAAATATCCCAAACTTGTTCTACGAGTATATCAAAAGTCACTCTATGCGTTAAATTTCGTAATTCTTTAATTCCGCCGGTCTATCACCAAAATATTACTTTTTACTTTGCACTCAAAAACTTAATTGTTTATACTTTAGTGTTGTTTCGATTTGAAATACCGCAATTGATTATTAACTCTGCTCACAAAATTTACCTGAGTTCCGCGAGAATCTCTATTTATCCAATATTAAACCTTTATGCACCAATTACTACGCACTTTTTAAAGTCAAAATGCCGAAAAAAGACTAAATTTGTACCTTGGTGGTCTTCGGAGGTTGAAGAGAAAATATCCGTAAGGAAACGAACCTTAAACAGATTTCGGCGTCATCCCACCGTGGAGAACCTTATTGAATTTAAAAAGCGAAGGGCGGAGTGTCGTCGAACAATTCTGGATGCACAAAGAAGATCGTGGCAACCATGGCCTAATAGAGTATGGTCTGCTATTGCGCATAGTGCATTAGTCGGCTTGCGTTGATGTGACGTCACGCGGTTGTGAAACGAACTGGTGCCGACAAGACTCCCATAAGAATAAGTAAGAAAGCCTAACAATTACGGTGAAAAGTTTTTAGTCATAAAGTGCTTACACCTAATTAGAGCTTATCTGCATATATATATATATATACGTAACAAACTGTGTTGTATTACAAAAACAAAGTAGAAAATCATTAGGTTTTAATGTAAAATATGTACAAAACATCGATTCAGACTGTTTAAAACATGAGGTTTTTCATTGGTTACTAATTGTTCGTCTTTCTGCAGAAGTCCCGCAGTTTCTCATTTTCTTTATTTCGTTTCCGAATTCTTATTTATACGTCCTTGCTCCAAAGTTCAAAGGGTATCATTATATAGGGTATCGTTATGTGCTTTTTTCTTTAACTAAGTGGTCGAAAGCGTCGTTAGGTATCAATGTCTTATCACATGATGCATTAAGTTTATTACTTTTCAATAACAGCAAAATAATTTGGTGGCTTTTTTAAATCCCGTTCAGATATAAAATAATCCAATTATCGCCTATTTCAAATTCGGCGATTTCGCCTAAGAATCGGTATTTCGTTTTTAATTTGTATGCAACGTAAGCAGTCATATAAAGCGAACCTTCTTTATGAATGTTCGTTGTTTCTTGAGCAAAATGAAGGTAGGTATTTCAGCAATACCTTCTTCTTGCAATGTTGGCCCGTTAAACAAGTATTATAATTTCCGTCAAGTTTTCTAATGGCTGAGCAAAGCAGCATTCGCCGGCCCTTTGCAAGGTATATTTACCAACAAATCTTGGTGTCAAAACATATTCCGTATCGTACCTATCTACCTATTTATTAGGTCGTTATACAAATCTATTAACGATCGGTTAGATCGTTGAGTGAAGGTGTAGCTATCAATCAGATGCCGATACAATTATACCCCGCTGAAAAGCAACATGTTTTGGAAATCTATACTAACTTGTATTTAGTTTTTCTATTGTTATTATTGCAACCAGACACCACACAATGGACCATTGTAATAAAGTAATATAGCTATATAATCGTATTTATCACATATATGCAATGGAATATCGAAATATTAGCACATATTTATTCATATGCGCGTGTACAATATTTCAGTGTACACAACCGCGTGACGTCATGCGCGACTTGTGCGAGATTTCGTTCACGGGAATAGCAGACCATACTCTTATTAGGCCATGGTGGCAACAATACGTGTCCACCATTACACCCGATGCTACAACTAATGAGATATGGCGAAAGGTTGGAGCTATATCTGGCAAAACGGGATGTAATTATCCGGAGTTTATCCGTAAATCAGATGGGGTAGTGACAGACAACCTGCAGGAGATATCAAATATCCTTGCGCACCAATTCTTCCAAGTTAGCAGTTCCTTGAACTACTCAGAAACCTTTCTATCAACCAAAGCCGATAAGGAATTAACTGTTATTGACTAATATGATACGCAAGAACGATTAGATTATAACTTACCGTTTACGCTTGAAGAATTGGTGATTGCGATCCGGTCCTCGAAAAACTGTTTACCTGGTTGTGATGGCATCCATAATAAAATGATTCGCCACTGCAACCTGGAAATGAAACAGAAGATTTTAATATTTTTTAATAAATGCTGGGAAAATTGTACTTACCCCTCAGAATGTAAAAAGGCTGTTGTTGTTCCTATACCCAAACCATGGAAGGATCCATTGTTGCCAAAACACTATCGTCCGATTAGCTTAACATCATGTTTGGGTAAACTATTAGAGAAACTGGTGAACCGGCGACTGCAGTCATTTTTGGAATCCAATGATATATTGGTATCATACCAAACGGGTTTTCGGCAAGACAGATCAACAATAGATCATTTGGATAAATTGAGCGACAACATCTGACAATAGAGAACACCTTGTGGCGGTGTTCTTCGACATCAAAGGGGCGTATGACATGACATGGAGGTACGGAATCCTAAAAAACATGTCAAAATATAATCTACGGGGTAACATACCTAAATTTGTCCGTTCCTTTTTGCAAGATAGGGGATTTGTCGTCAGAGTCGGAAACACATACTCCCAGGAATACATCTTAGAGAATGGAGTGCCACAGGGGTCTACTCTGAGCTGTTCTCTCTTTACAATTGCAATAAATGAAATAGCCTCAGAAGTTGCGGAGGAAGTTGATAAATGTTTGTACGTCGACGACCTCATGATTTGCCTTGCCGGAAAAACTGTTGGCACTGTTGTGCGAAAATTGCAAGATTCCATCAATCAAATTGAAACAAATGCAGACGCAGTGGGCTATGTCCTTTCCGAGGAGAAAACTAAAGCGATGCATTTTTGTAGGCTCCGTAAACCCCATTATGACCCTGTCATGTTTTTGAAAGATCATATTATTAGTGTACCCAGTGACATTAAATTTTTAGGGCTCACTTTTGACAGGGAGTTAAGATGGACTAAGCATTTGAAGAATCTTTTAACATCAAGCAGGAAATCACTAAATGTGCTAAGGGTCCGCGCACATCTCATCCTAAATCTCTTATAATGCATTGATCCTGTCACGCATTGGCTATGGGTGCTATAGCTATTCTACAGGCAGTTTCACGTTGCTGAGTAAGTTGGATAAAATTCAAAATCTAGCAATTAGATACTCCCTCGGGGCATTTCCAACTAGTCCCATCAGCTCTCTCAACGTGGAAGCAAACATTCTACCGCTTGCTCTTCGTCGAAAGCAATTGATAATAAACTATTACCGGAAAGTATCTCTGAATGATGAACACCCCAATTATAATTTACTTACTGGTAGAACCAGACCTACACGGTTACCTATATAGATCGCTAGGCGAAAGAGCAAGACAGTGCATAGAGGAGATGCAGTTACAAAATGATGACATATTAGATATCACGAAGGTAGCTGTGAAGAACTGTGTTTTTGAGCGCTGGCAGGAGACGTGGACGGGGACCGATACACAATTAAAAAGAGTAAAACCAAATCTAGGAGTACTATTTTTACCCAACTTGAGTAGAGTTGATTTGACAAAGCTGTATCGGCTTCGGTTGGGACACATCGCTATCACGCATGGTTTTTTGTTGGTAGGTGGAGAACAACAGTCATGTGATAGATGTGGTGTCGAATTGACACCGGCACACATACTTTGTGTTTGTGTAAAATACACAAACCTGCGTGATGCATTGAAAGTGAATGAAATATGGGAAACCAATTTTAGTAGTCATGATCACTGCAAGAGTGTGTTAACTTTTATGCGAGGCGCTGGAATCTTCAACCAACTTTGATTGTTGAAGTGGAAGGACCTGCGATCACAATGAACAGGGTGATAGGCTAATGGCCTTAGTAGCCGAAGCCTTAGGTGGGGTTTTAGTGAGTACTTATGCTCTAAGGGAGAGCCTCACACTACTCTGGAACTTCTTTTCAGAATGTGCATAAGGAGCCACCTACAAAAAAAAATATTGAATTAGTCTGAAATACCTATGTAAATAAATGAGTACGTAGTGTTTATTTATTATGGACGATTTTGCGCTTCCACGTTTCTCAACTCACTTATCTATCACTGGAAACTATAGAAAGTACTCTTTACAGGAATATGGCTTCTGTATTATAACAATAGATTATATTTGTTTGATTTGTTTACCCTATTTATTTAATGAATTAGATTTTGATTTTCAATGCACATTATACTTACTTTATTCTGCAAAAGCAGCTGTTTGTTTCTCATTAACGAGCTCGATGCCTTTTTTGCTTATGGTTGCTACCTATCCTGAATGCATATGTACTTTAAACGGAAACAAATTAAAATTTCAGAAAGACATACTAAATTAAACCATTTTAATTATGTGTACTTACCTACACATTATGCTTTGGTTTGACTAAACGAGCTGTAAGATTTTAATAGATACCTACCTACCTGTGTTCATCTTTGTACATATTCCTACCTCTAAAAAACTGTTAATAATAATTTACTTGCGCTAACGAATAAATTACTTGCGCAAGTAAAACAATTACTATTACTATTCATGATTGCCTGTATTGTGCATTACCAAACGGTTTTTTTTTATCAAGCAAGAAGGTTTCATAAGAGAAGGCTAGTGAAATTCTAGTTTTGTCCATGACTTGCTAAATAATGGCACAAGTTGAAGTTTGCGCACAATAGCGAATTGGGCGGTATCGACCGCAACAAACGGCACTGCGTCAGTCCGTCTCGGCGCCTGTAATCGGGATGCTGTGGACTCGCGACGCTTGGCAGCATGGATCTGCCGCGAATTTCATCGCACACATCTTTGAATCCTTCTAATCCAATACTTTCCAGTCTTCGATCGCGAATACCTATCAGCCGTAAACTTCTTAGTGCCTCTAATCAGGAACCCCAATTCGCCGTTATTCCTTCTACTTCACACTTTCAGCCTAGCTGCAAGCGCGAAGAAGCACGTGCACTGCAAAATTTGCGGCGCCGCGTCCAAGCCCTTCGCATCGTCCAAGATAATCGTGCCGAAGAAGCTATTGAAACTGTTAATGGTAATCGGAATTTATCCTATTCACAACTTGACAATCGGCCGCAGTTGTTACAGAAGGTGAGGCACTTTATCAGATGTTTTCACGTGTACGTGAAAAAGGTACCAAGTTAGAAACTTTGCAAGATGCTAGGGCCCCTTGATGAATACGCTTGACCCCATTAAATTTAAACCTGGCTTGCATTAAAATGCCACGTTTTACTCTCAGCCTCACACAATAGAATCTTTTCCTTTTGAAAAGAAATTTTAATTGGCTCCACAAATAGGCACTTCAAACTTTACGGACGTTATTTTATTGTTGTTGGTAATGGAACCAGTAGGTACTTTGAGTTTGTGAGAATTAGAGATTTCTTTAAATAAATTTGTTTTGCAGAAAAAATTTTCCACGTCCATCCACAAGTGTTTAGTTCAATTTTAAGGACTTATATTGGGTTCTTAAGATTGAAATCCGCTGGAAAGTCAAATGGATGTATATTTGGTCAATTATAAGATGGTTTGAACAGATTATCTAATGATATATGTAACTTCATTCCCGCGAGTTTTAGTTTTGAAAACCGAGTCCGCTAAAATTGAAGAATTAAGTGGTTCTGGAAAATTTCTCATTTCATTTTTGTACCCGTTATACCTATAGATTCGTCAATTACTTTTGTCCTTCCATGCGATCTATGTGCTATAGATGTATTAATTTTTGTATCATCCTGCAACAGAAGAATGTTTGTAAACAAATCTTCAAAATCTAACTTGATCACATTATTTTGAAAGAAATGGGTACCTACCTATTTTATAATAACATACATATATTAATACCTACCAAGGAAATAAAGTGTGTGTTGTATCCTCAGTTACGTTTCGGGCAACAATCTGCACCTTCGGGTTTAGGACGCACTTTAGACCTATGGTATATTACTTTACTTTTTGTATTCCTGTAAACAGCTACAGCAATTTCAATGTTACAGTCCAAATTTGAAATAAAAAAAATTTGTTTGATTGTAGAATCAATATACCTTGCTATGTCAAATTGTGTTGTGACTGTCTAAGAATAAATATACGTTTAATTTAAAGATTCTGGTTCAAACTTACGGCGCGGAAATGATCGTTCAAACAAAACTCTGCAGAACAAGCTATAAAGAAACTACTATCTCCGAAATTTCAAAAGATATACAGGGTGATAGTCGTTACACCCGAAAACTGCAGTTACAATTAAACAAACAACTTTGTTTTGTTCCAATTTTTGATTTGGTGCCCCGGTTCGAAGTTATTGGCGTTCATTTGTTTTTCGAAAATTCGTTATAACTCCCTTATGTTATGAACTATTGAAAAAAAACATTTCCAAAAATATCATTCAACTCTCTAAAACATTCATATTTGCAGATATTTTTATTTTTTCAAATAACAAAATAGCGATTGATCAAAAGTTTCAAAAAAACATTTTTTGATAACCACCCTATCGATTTTTGAAAGAAAAACATTCATAAAATCCCTACATCATCTACTATAACATGAGTCGTAAACATATTTCAATTTTTTTTTCAATTTCGGTTTCCAAAATGGCCCCCCTTCGCAGGATAGATCACTTTAATAAACCTGCCAAAAACGTTCTCTTCTTAACTTCGGAAACGCATGCGTAACAACTTCAGGCACAGGACCTTCGTTATTCGGCGAAACTGCCCGTAAAATCTAGTCAACGGTGACATATATGTTTTACAATAGACCCGAAAACCTCTCGTTTATTTTCTGTTGTTCCTATTTAAAGGAGAAACCACCTCCATTCATAAATTCTATATCATTGCCCCCCCGGCGATACTCGAAACTCCATTCCGTCGCCTGAATTGATAACCACATGCGTTGCTCTCTCACAGGACTAATTAATTTTTGTTCGATAAAACCTTTTTACTAAATACTTGAGCAGATTAAACTTTCCACATTACAATTAAATTTCGATTACATATTCCCTTATATATGCGTTTTAAACAAGAAACTAAATTCATTTTACAATAAATATTAACAAACAACTTTTCTATTTCTGTGTCTATGGGATATATAATTTCCTAGACCCTATGAAACTATTAGAATGATTTCACATACACGATGTCCCGATTGCTATTTCCAATACTTAAACCGGCTCGCTCTCATCTTCGGCATTGTTTCAACCTGGCGAAACGACACCCCTCTGTAGTTTACACAATATAAATAAAAAAAAGCAAGAACCCCCAATTTACACATGGTGTACAAGGAAACCTTATAAAAATCCAAATCGTGTTCAAAGAAGTATGTTCATTGATTGGATTGTTTCCAATTTTCAAGCGAAGATGTTTTAGTAAAAATTTGATATGTTTTTCGATAAAATTCAAATGACTTAATAGGAAGAAATAATGTGACCTAACTATTCAGTACTTTAAAATTTTAAATAATAATTAATCCTTCGAACTAGCTGACTCTCCCAGTCGCCTTTTCCTCGACTTATATTTTGTAAATGTTAGAGTTAGCGCCCTAGTTCCTGCATTTAAGATTTAAAGCTATGAACATTCTCATTAACCAAGTTCTTTTATTTGAAGTAGGTAACGCAGAAACCGGGCAAATTAGAAAATCATTAGAGAGAATTAGCTTTATTTCTTAATTTTATTAGCAGTTGTTGAAATGCGTGTCACTCATAGCCGAGTAGAAGTTAATTACGTTTAGTTGTCTTACTAATTGAATAACTTCTTGTGCCGTTAGTTTTGTAGTGGTAGTTTAGTTGAACGTTAAAATAATTATTTAGTTTGCAGATGAGTAGTTTGAATTGAGACTATACTTTTAGGTAGGTTTTATCTATGGAGTGATTAGGCTATTATTCGATTTGATTGTCATGGGCTTTAGTGAAATGTGTAAGACTTTTTTAATATCAGATAAGTTAGTTTTTAAATTTAAAGGCCGCCTGGAACACATTCAAAACGCGAGTTATATCATGCAAGAAGAATCAAGCTCTTATATAACTTTCCGACACGCTATATTGGAGATATTCTCACTAAAGTTTTCACATCGCCAATATATATGTGTCGTCTAGAGGTTCCAACCGCCCTTTGAGAGTGCCTTCCCCCGAGACTGCGTGCTGCAGATATTTTTGCACTAAAAGTTTTGACATCACCCGCTGTAGACTTGTCTCGTGCAGACACTTGCCAATTACGAGTACCCTCTTCCGACACTTCACCCCGAGATATTGGAGGTAGACGTCACCAATAGATATGTCTCGTCCAGAGGATTCATCTTGCTTTTGTGAGTACTCACTTCCGACACACCGTTTTTGAGATATTCGCTCTTGAAATTTTGACATCACCAAAAGAAATATTTCTTCCAGACGTCCCAATTACCTTTTTATTGTGAGTACCCTCCTCCGACAATCTTCTCTTGAGATATAAGGAATTATATCTGATCACGATAAGGAACCGAGGAGGAAACTATGGTTAGTAGAAATTAATTCCTTTCCTCAAGACCGTTCATTAGAGCACCATGAAGAGCAGAACTAGTTCCATCCCCCAACTTTAATTAGAATACCACGAAAGATAGAATTAATCCCCTCCATTCCCCTAAAAGTAGTTCATCACGGCAGAAGTGGGCCCGGACGTTCGGGCGGACGGTCAAATAATAGTACATTTTTTTCATTCTTAAATATTGCGCGAAAATTATTGCTGGCGAGTCCGACCGCTAATAAGCTAGAAATAAGCCCCAATAAGCATTATATGAGTGTGACACAGACATCTTTATCATTACTGACATTGAAAGTAACAATTAGTCATAGTAGTAGTAGCCTACTCAAAACGGTTTGTTGTGTATTCTCATCTCATTTTAGGCTTATATAATGCTCATTGCATTTCTCTACCACTCTACTTTTATTAATGTTTTTCCAAATACGTGCGTTAAAACAGGTTTATTGTTACCAGTTTTTATGAGAAAGGTCAAGCCCTTTCTTGTTTCTTTCGCGGCTAAATAACTTGACACTTAACATTAACAATAATCCTTTGTGGCAAAGAAAACACCAGAACGTTTAATTGATTTTTTGTCCTTGACCGAACTCGCGGTACAATTCTTGTTTCACGAATTACCTAAGATAAAACTTGGTTCTGGACCGAATTTTATTGTATTTTGCTTCTAATTCGAACTGAAATTTTTATCATTTGTGTCTGTGATGACTGAAAATAAAAACTTTCGCCCTGGCCATTCCAGAACAAATTCTTTCGCGACGGCCGGCGTGTTTACTCGAATTTTGTTACACCTTCATTATTGGCAAATTAGTAACGATCTCTGATACGGCTCGACCCTCAATGCCTTCAAAATATGGCTCCAGATTAATCCTTACCTATCGTTTTTGAATTAATGAACCACCATTTAAAATTGCGCCTAGTAATTAAGTAGAGTAAGAGCAAATCGGATTTCTGCGCCCCCTTCCCCGAATTAGACGTGAGTTAGGCATTTCCACTAGCGGTCCTATGCTGATTTTACGCTTTTAAGCTAATTAGATAAACTTACCTACGCCGAATGACCGACTATTGGAGCCATCGGTTTCCGGAACCTGATTATTTCGTTATAGAATTCAATTCCGCAGAAAAAATGATCGCTGGTATTAACCGGAAACTACGAACTTCTCACAAAGCTGAATTTGCTGTTTGTTTAAAGTGCCAAGTCTACAATTTGACCACTCTGTGTGTTCGAAATTTAACATTTCACTAAAAAATTGAGAAAAATCAACCTTGGAAAGTTTCTCTTACTTTTCGCTTCTCTTACGTTCATCTTATTGGATCAAAACTACTCAATAAGTACAAATTGTTTTCATTTTCTTTTATAATTCTTTTAAGTAACTGAAGCTATTAATATGGAGTTTTAGTGACAGGCTCATTAGAACAATGTCAAGATACCTTTGATTGAAATATAAATAAAGGATTATTATATGCAAAATACCGTTTATCACGCCTTCACCAAAAGAATACCCTGGATACCGTATGGCGTATAGTCTATATTTATCAATTTTGCAACTAATCTTTTGCAGTAAGCAACATAATACTAGATTATTGAATACGCGTAGTTATTTATTAAACATGCAGGAAAATAATGTTTAATTATGTAGCTCATTCGTTTCGGAGAATGTACACATTTCTATATCTTTATAAAGGTAGTTAAAGCAATCGTTTCCTTATCAGGATATGGAAATTAAGGGTGCTGCACGCTACGCTTACGTATATTCCTTGTGTATTTGAGAGTATGCGTGCCATTACCCAATCTGATTTGGGAACATTCAAGTTGATTTCCCTTCAACCTTGTACTTAGGTAACCTTTCATCTGGCAAGGTTTCGTTTATTTCACGGCTTGATATAAAACTTTTGTCTTGCAGATATTGACCAACAAACCCGTCAGCATGGTCTTGGACGAATCCGATATCCAAACGGCTTGGCAAGATAGCGATTTTATTACGGATTGTCTATGTTGGCACAATGTTTACAGACAAAGACATTCGTCACCTCCTTTATCAATGTCATCAGAGGTATGTATAAATCCATGTACTGTTTTAATTTGCAGCTCCAATTGTAAAACTACGACATTCATTTTCTTGGTGCTTAATATGTTTTAAAAAGAACAACAGTTTTACTCGTGCTATATTTCATCCATAGTATAGTAGATCATTCAAAAACTTCTGGTGTCAAAAATATCACAACATTTTGGAATTGTTTTTCACTTTTAGTGTAAATACCCCTGCAGTTTTCCTAATTCGTAAGGTAAATACCGGAGTAGTATAGAACAACTTAAGACCTTCTGCAGAGGCACCTCTAAAAAGCATTATGCGGGTGACTGTAATTGGGCGCAACCCTGTTGAGGGCCCAGAACAAGAGAGAGATAATAAATAAATAAATAAATAAATTAATTAATTAATTAATTAATAAGTAAATAAATAAATCCATGGCGAATGCAATGTATAGGGTGGGCTCCAGACAGGCACAACATCTTGCCAAAATGAAACTAAAGATGCTGAGGTTGAGGGTCCACAACAAGAGAGAGACAATAAATAAATAAATAAATAAATAAACAATATTATAAACTAAAGGCCAAAACAAGAGAACCAATACAGTAACGGAATTAGCTTTGGAATGTAATCGATAAATGGAATAGAAAATCTTTAACAGTTAATAAATCTGGATAATAGGTCCACAAGCGGAATACCCTCTACAATAAATACATGCAACAATACAAGGGCATAATAAGATACCTACACAAAAAATGTAGGCTTAAATTAATGTTGAATGACCAACGCATATAACGTCATTAACAACCAAGGCACATGCTATATAAAGAATAGCAATACGGTCATTATAAACAAAGGTACGTTTTACACAAAGAATGTTACCACATTTATGTTTTTTTTTAAAGGGAGACTCGAAATTCGGCAACTCGAAGTAGGTAATACAGCGATCCCGGATGGTGGATGGATACTTCGGTGCAGATAATATATCTCGGACAGGAACTAAAATGGGGAAATCAAACATATGCTGATAGGATTAGCCTTGCTCACCCCAATAACTGGGTTTCCATATAAATACAATAGAATAGATGACATATTAATCAACTTCGAATTTGCCGGGACCATGTAATATCAACTAAACTATAAATAATGAAAATTATAGAGCGGAAATATGAATAATATGCTTACCGGTTAGTAATAACTCAATTCACGTTAAGACGTTTCGGCAAATTTAATTTGATGCCTCAGGAATTTAATAAGATTTTAATACCTTTCGCAAAATTAGTACCTGTCATCCTAACGACAAAGGCAAAAAGTGACAGTTCTTCAATCCCAATGGTACCAATTCACGCTTTCTATTCACACTTTGAAGGCGCATTCAGCCATTCCTTATGGGTACATTTATTGTGCGACTGTGAAACGGGTCTGTTATTACATTGGCCAAAATTTATTGGGAGTGGCTTAACTGCATCTGTTGGGTGAACAGATTATAGTTATTATGTTACTAACCTACTTTCAAAAGAAAACGGAATATAGATAGAAATTTCTGTCCTTATACATGCAGGAAGCCTTAATATCGTTGAGTGAACAACGCATATTCAAAAGACAGTATCTGAACTAAGTTTATTACAGTAAATATCGATTTTTAAAGAGTATGTAAATGGTACCTACCACACGGGCGATCCAAAATAACACGAATAGATGCACGCCATGGAAAGAATGTTAAATTAAAATTTTTGATTTCGTAATAAAAGGAGAGATTGTTATCCTCTGTGTAAAAAATTTTAAATTTGCATTATTAATATGCATTTTTGGTGCTGGAGTTCACTTCTTATTTTTTTCTTGGTGAAACCATCTTCGCATACTTTATAGTAGCATGATAGATAATTATAGAATCGTGAAATTTGGCATGTGGGCTTTGTTTTCGGCGAGTTGGTGTTCTATCGTAGTCCTGAACGTTGTTATTTTGTAAAATCTCCATCAGGTTGAAACTGAAAGTTTTAGTTTTAGTATGTCGCGTCAAGTGTAACTAATTCTATTATCGGATAGAACGATACAAAATGCGTTGTAATTATACGATTATATGCCATCGTTCCGAAAACGGAATGAAAACATACATTTTGTTAGAATACTACAAAAAATTATGAGAAATATAAACCTACATCTCCGGTTACTTCACTTATTTCCCTGTTGTCAGTACATAATATCTAGAGACTTTTCTAATAGTGTAGTGGTACATTTTACATTTAATATTTTTACAGTTTTAGATTCCAGTGAAATGTTCCGTGCTGTCATTGTGCTGTAAATCTAATTACGATACCAAAGTAAGCCAGTTACTATATTTTGCATCCGAAAGGATAATAACCGAAAGCGTTGAGTGAAAAATAGCCGACAGCAAGCAACCTTTATTCCTATAGAAGCCTGAACGCCACTAAAATATCTTGTGTTGCGTGCCTTCCCTATTTTGTTTCGGCATTATAGACAAGGATAATCTGCTATTGTGCTTCCCAATATTAACTGATGACGATTTGTGGCCTGTCACAGGTTTTCTATTGTACTGCACAATAAAACCGTTTCAAACAAAATAATCTGCCCGCTGTTTAAATATCGCGGGTACATGTGAAAGATTAACTTTCATGCGGGTGACTGAACTACTAATACAACATTACTAAATCCCACGGCACCTCTAATTTCAGGTGCCAATAGACTCAAAAAACAACCTCCACTTCAGGTAGGGGTGTTTTGTAAATTCTACCAGGTAACTAGAGGATTATCGAAAAGAAATTTATAACTTACAACCTTTCTTTAACACATTTTTGTAGGAGATTTTTTTTAAATCGAAGGGGTTCTGATCAGATAGTGACATGGCATATCTCCCTAGTGCTGGATTTGCACACCTTGTGTCGCGCGATCGTTGTGGATTAACGCTCCGTATGAGTTAGTTGCGTCTATATACTTAGTCCTAGTTGAAGAAATGCACGCGGAATTAGGTTGTTTCTCTATATAGATTCGACGTTAAGATTGAAACACCACTCGTAGGATTTGGCGAACAATTAAAACAAAACAAGCAGAATTTAGGTGCAGATTTTAGATTCGAGTGGAAAATTTTATTCTTGTTATAATTACAGACCAAAAATTTCGTGTCGCACTAATTAACATTAGACGAGTGCCATCATCTACATTGAAGCAGCGATTGTCTACGGTTACGTTTCTATAATGTTATAATACTAATTTTTTTGTTTCGCTAGGTATTCCTCCAGAATACAAATATTCATAATTAGATGTTGTTGCTGTTATATTAAAAAAAAACATATTACATTTTCGTAATTAGAAATTGGTCATGTACACTCTGTCTTCATAGGGGTTTTGAAAAAGTATCTAAAATTAGATAATTCAACCAAGATTGAACGTACCTTTGTTGACTTCGAAACGTATGTGCGGCAGGAAGGCAATTGCATGCAAATTTTTTTACGGTGTAACCTCATATTTCATTTTCGGTTGTATGTACCTATGGAATCTTTTGTGTGCTCATTTCGTTACAGATTTTGAAAATGCTTACGCAAACTTTATTAATGAGAAAGTTATCAAATATTCCTTTTTCGGTGTTATTACATGCTGATAACCAAACATGTTGTGCTCATCAAGTAAATACATTATAGAATGTTAGGAATATCAAAATTTTGTACTGATCAATCAAACGCGTTAAAGAACTTTGAAATACAGGGTGTTTACACATTTATTTACCATTTTTCTCTTAAACGCTTTTTTATGAACTACGTACTACTTAACGTAGGCAGCGATAAGAAAACTTCTTATTTACGACCGGAAAAAACCTGAGATAAACTTTTACAAATACTACGCATAGAATTTATAGATGTTAGTATAAACTAACACAAAATAACTTTATAATAAAATAAACAAATTAAACAAAGCACTTATTTGAGCAACTAATAATTCTGATACAGAACAAACTCGACTACGAAATTAAATCACATGATCGGGATTACGTTCAATCCTAACCCATGACTGCATCCAACGTTAATAATGATTGGAATAAGACATACACGGTAATCCCTCATTACTGCAAACGCCGAAACCAAATAGACGTAGTTTATACAACAAAATACAGTGAGTAAAAAAGTCACAATTAAATGTTTAGGTACTTACCTAAACTTTTTCTCTTTAGTGCAAAGAATGCGCAAGACAAAATTATGATAGACGTGTGCGAGCATTTTCTTAAACCACAATACCCAATTTATAAATGATTTGTTCCATATTTTAGTCGCTCACTGTATATTTAGGTCGTTGATCAAAGGTATTCAATTTTACCCTACCGATTGTGACGTTTGTACACTTTTCAATTATGACTTTTATTAAGTATTATTTAAGTTTATTTGAGAACGCTTTCTGTTGACCCCACATATATTATTGACCAAGTCAAAGTGCTATTCTAGACCTTGGTAATCCATTGCCTGTGGGCTTTGAATATAATATTCAAAGCTGTGGGGTATTTAATGAGTAAGGTGATTCTTAAGGGGGTTGAAAGTCTGAGTTCTCTTTGACGCTCCCTAAAATGCTTCCAATTTCTTAAACAAAATCGAAAAAACGTTATAATTAAACGTGTCTCCAGCAGCTTGTCACCTCATAACATGTATAGTTCGCAATATTATCGTTGAAGTATGTATTGTTTATATTAATAAATTAGCAGACCCGGCAAATTTTGTACCGCCTATTAGTCATGCCCCGTTCCCGGATGATATGTAGACCCCCCCTCCCCCCTGCAAATCTCGGCTAAATATTTCGCTTCTGAATGGGAGCTGCCTCACCTCGCCCAAATGTGCAGCTTATAAGCTCGCTTACGGAACCATTATCCTACCCAAAAACGATCGGCCATCAATTCCCTGGTCCATCGTACGGACTGTTAGCAACAGGTAATTAAAATATTCATCACGAACCTTTTGGTCAATAATAATAAGATATGAATTCCATTTGAGTAGCATAAATTAAAGATAATGCTACGACACTGG